GGCGTAGGTCTCAGGTTGGGCCAATTATTGGTTGGACTTTCCCTTAAACTGTTCCCTCATCATCACTGCATTTCTTGTAGGCAGAGTAATTTTGGATCACAGGTTTTATCAGTGTGTTGTTATTCCCCTCCTTCCACTAGTCCTGCCTGGCTAGGAGGTAGTCACTTCAGTCTTCAGGTCTCTGCCTGTTAGGAGTCTCAGCCAGAGCCACACCGTTGTCCTCCCAGGAGCCTAACCTGTCGAAGGCATCCAGATTGACAAAGAGATATCTCCCCCCAGTTTCACTTCTTGTTTGCAGCCTCTCACCTTCCACTCCCATGCTCCCCACACCTGATCCCCACTCTTGTTTCCTACCTATTCCATTTCCTGCTCAGTTCCCTCTCTTACACTTTGGCTGTCTATTCTATTTCCCCTTTGAAATGAAATTCTGCCACCCTGCCTTGGGCCCTCCTTGATACTTGGCTTCTTTGGGTCCATGGATTGTAGTATGATTATCCTGTACTATAGGTGTAATACCTGCTTCTAAGTGAGTACATACCATACATGTCTTTCTGAGTCTAAGTTACCTCACTCAGGATGATCTTTTCTAGTTCTATCCATTTGCCTGCAAATGTCATGATTTCTTTGTTTTTAATAGCTGAGTAGTATTCCATTGTGTAAATGTACCACAATTTCTGTATCCATTCTTCAGTTGAGGGACATCTAGGTTGTTTCAACATCTAATGAGATGATCATATGTTTTTTTTTTTTCTTTCAGTTTGTTTATATGGTAGATTATATTGATGGATTTTTGTTTGTTGAAACATTCCTGGGGTAAAGCCTACTTGATCATGGTAGATGCTATTTTGACATGTTCCTGGATTTGGTTTGCAAGTAGTTTATTAAGTATTTTTGCATCAATGTTCAAAAGAGAGATTGGTCTGAAATGCTCTTGCTTTGTTGGGTCTTTATGTGGCCTCATAGAATAAGTTTGGCAATGTTCCTTCTGTTTCTGTTTTGTGGAACAGTTCAAGGAGTATTGGTATTAGTTCTTCTTTGAAAGTCTGGTATAATTTGTTGCTAAATCCATCTGACACAGGGCTCTTTTTGGTTGAGAAGCTTTTGATGACTGCTTCTATTTCACTGTGAGTTACAGATTTATTTAAGTTCTTAACCTGATCTTGATTTAACTTTGTTAAGTGGTATCTGTCATGAAAATCATACATTTCATTTAGATTTACCAATGGCATACAGGTTTTTGAAGTACAATCTAATGATTCTTTGGATTTCCTTGCTATGTGTTGTTATGTCCCTGTTTCCATTTCTGATTTTATTAACTTGGATATTCTCCCTCTGTCTTTAAGTTAGTTTGGCTAAGTGTTTGTCTATCTTGTTGATTTTCTCAAAAACCAGCTCTTGGTTTTGTTGATTCTCTATATTGTTCTCTTTGTTTCTAGGTTATTGATTTCAGCACTGATTTTGATTACTTCCTGCCTTCGACTCCTCTTGGGTGTGTTTGCCTCCTTTTTTTCTAGAGTTTTCAGGTGAGCTGTTAAGTTGCCAGTATGAGCTCTCTTGACTGAAGGCACTTAGTGCTACACACTTTCCTCTTAGCACTGCTTTCGCTGTATTTCATAAGTGTGGGTATGTTGTGCCTTCATTTTTATTGAATTCTAGAAAGTCTTTAATTTCTTTATTTCCTCTCTGACCCAGTGGTTATTAAGTAGAGAGTTGTTCAGTTTCCATGAGTTTGTAGGAATTCTATTGTTTCTGTTGTTGTTGAAGTCTACCTTTAATCCATGGTGCTCTGATGGAATACAAAATTGAAATTTTTATTTCAATTTTCTTGTATTTTTGAGGTTTGCTTTATGTCTGGGTATGTAGTCAGTTTTGGAGAAGGTTCCATGAGGTGATGAGAAGGTATATTCTTTTGTGTTTGGATGGAATGTTCTGTAGGTCCAATTCACTCATAATGTCAGCTAGTTTTGTTATTTCTTAGTTTCTGTCTCAGTGTTCTTTCCATTAGTGAAAGAGGTGTGTTGAAGTCTCCTACTGATTTAAGATTTAGTAATGTTTCTTTTATAAATGTGGGTGCCCTTGCATTTGGGGCATATATGTTCAGAATTAAGATATCATCTTGGTTGATTTTTCCTTTAAGTATGAAGTGCTCTTCCCCCTCCCTTTTGATTAATTTTGGTTTAAAGTCTATTTTATTAGATATTAGAATAGCTACTCCAGCTTGTTTCTTATGTCCTTTTGCTTGGCAAAAACTTTTTCCAGCCCTTTATTATGAGATAATGTCTATCATTATTGCTGAGGTGTGTTTCTTATATACAACAGAATGATGGGTCCTGTTTACCCATCCATTCTGTTTTTTATTGGCCATTGATGTGAGATATTAATGACCAGTTGTTACTTCTTGTTATTTTGATGGTGGTGGTGGTAGAGTGTATGTGCATGCTTCCTTTCTTTTGGTTTTGCGGCTGTGGGGTTATTTCCTGTGCTTTCCTGAGCCTCTTTGGGTTGGAGTTTTCCTTCTAGTATCTTCTGTAGGGCTGGTTTTCTGGCTAGGTACTGTTTAAACTTGGTTGTGGTGTGGAATATCTTGTTTTCTCCATCTATGGTGATAGAAAGTTTTTCTGGGTATAGAAGTCTGGGTTGACATTTTTGCTCTCTTAGTGTCTCCATGACATCTGACCAGTCTCTTCTGGCATTCATGGTCACTGTTGAGAAGTCAGGTGTAATTGTGATAGGTTTACCTTTATATGTGGAATGGCCATTTTTTCCCTTGCAGCTTTTAATGTTCTTTCTTTGCTCTGTACATTTGGTGTTTTAATTATTATGGGAGCATTTTCTTTTCTGGCCCAACCTATTTGGTGTTCTGTAGACTTCTTGTATGTTTATAGGCATTTCTTTCATTCGTTGGGGAAGTTTTCTTCTATGATTTTGTTGAAAATATTTTCATTTAGTAGAGAGCCCTCATTGTGGTAAATGGTCTGGGAGAACAGCTTATCTTCCTCCAATGCCAAAGTCAAAACATGAATTGTCTCAGTACAGTCTATGACTTGTACTCCTTCCAGCCCAAATTGTATTTGAGCTTTCATTTTGGTCAGAAGGTCATGCTCCAAGAGCAAGTAGTGGCACCCTGGAATTACCATGAATGAATGGGTTACCCATCCCATTCTTAAGTACATTTTTCTTTGGGTAGTCCATAGGTAGGACTTAGTTCCTGTCGCCCCTTAGACTGGGGTCCTTTTATCAGACAGTGGTCTCATAGATTGTTTCAGTACTGAATGTTGAACCCCAGTGCCCACTAGAAAATCCACAAGTTTCCCTTCCACTTTTAGGATTACCCAAGGCTCATGGAGAGGTTTTGAGCTCCAACACCTTCAGTCATCAATTTCCCATAGTTCGAGGATCTTGGGACGCTCTTCCTGACTTTTCTGGGGATACTCATTCTTCCATTGCCCCAATCCTTTGCAATAGGCACATTGGTCTTTCTGCAGAGGCCTATAGGTGTGGAAATTGGCTGCCCCATGGCCTATGGCCATTCCTCGACTGGCTGTCATGGGCATATCTCTGCCTCCTACTTGGGCTAATAGGTGAAGTCTATCTGGGTGACTTCATTCAGGAAGGAGAATTAGGGCCAATCCCCATGTCTTTTTATCTTCTGGGATCTCTCAGTTGTATACCTTTTCTGCTATGGCGATTAACTTACCTCTATTCTTGCTAGTGAATCCATCAAGTCTCTGAAGCTTCTGGTGAATATCAAGGTATGCTTGAGCCACAAATGTCACGTTGATTGCAGACTGGTGCTGTGGACCCTTTGGGTCAATGTGCGTGTAGGTTTGATAAATTTCCAGGAGTCTCTTCAGGTAATTTCTAGAGGACTCTTTTTTTTTTTTTTTTTTTCTGTACTGTCTCAGTTAATTTAGACATATTTATGGGTCACCTAGCAGCTTCCTGGAGGCCATTTATTTGAATCTGATGGTAAATGCAAAGCCATTCCCTACCTGCAGCTGGGAGGATGATCCCAGTCTGGTTGATCCAAGTGGAAAGCTACATCAACCTGTACTTGGGTTTGGGCCCCTAGAACCAATCTCTTGGCAGCCCCTATAATGTTGTTCCTCTCCTCAGCGTTGAAGAGGGCTTGCAAAAGCTGCTGGCAGTCATCCTAGGTGGGTTGATGTGTCAGTATTATGGAATCTAAAATGTCAATAAGGGTGGAGGGCTTCTCTGAGAATTTAGGTGTTTGGGCCCTCCAGTTGTACAGATCACTGCTGGAAACAGGAACATAGGTCTGCAATT